GGGGGGGGTGATTTCTCACTTTCTGTCTCTCTGTCTCTCTCTTTCTGGCGAGCACACACACCTTATAGCAAAAACCTCTCAAAAAAAAAAAGAATTATATTAATTAATTAATTAATTAATTTAAATTTGACCAGAGAGGGACAGAGAGAGAGAGAGAGAGAGAGAGAGAGAGAAAGTGAGAAAGCAAGCCACCAGGTTAGGGACTCAAACAGTGGTTGGCCATGTGGGAGTCCAGTGCTCCTTAACCATCTGCCTGCCCCAGATTTCTTTTCTTCTCCTTCTCTTTTTCCTTCTTAAAGAGAGATTATTATTATTATTATTATTTTGCCATAGTGCATGTGCTCTCTCCAGAGAGACAGAGAGATGGAAAGAGGGAAATCATCCCCCAGAGGGGAGTTATCGCCACTATGCAATCCCCTCTCCTCCAATCTCCTCTCAGGATTTTGAGCATGGGCATTTTTTTTCTGAGAGATTTTTGGTATAGGGCGTCTGGGCTTGCTGGAGAGACAGAAAGAGACAGAGAGACAGAAAGCGAGAAATGTCCCCTCAGGGTGATGGCCATGTCCGAATTCCTTCCCCTACAGTGTCCTCAGAATGCACATGCAAACGTGCCCAGCGAGTTTTAAGCCTTGGGTCCATAGTCTGGGAGTCCAGCGATGTAACTGTTATGCTATCTGCTGATCCTGAACCCAGTGTGAGCTTTTTTTTTTTTTTTTTTTTTAAAAGAATTATTTATTTAATTCCATTTGTTATTACTATTTTTTAATTTGACCAGACAGACAGAGAGAAGGAGAGAGAAAGGGAAAGCAAGAAATGGAGCTTGCTGTTCCTGGACTCGAACTGCAGCACTGCAACCGTAGTTGGGCATGTGGGAATCTAGCGCCCCTAACCACCACGCCATCTGCTGGCCTGCCGCTTTGAGTTTTATGCCGCTGTTCCAGGACTGGAACCACGGTCCCCTACGTGGGAATCCAGCTGTCTGCTGATCCCACGGGGATGTCTTCACAGATGTCACTCCATGAGGCTGTAAAGATGACACAGCACGTGGAAAGTGGTCAGAGCCAGGTCTGGCCTATAGTAGTACTCAATAAAGGAAAGTGTTATTATCTATAGCATGGGGATTGTCGGTTCACAAGGCATCTTGAAATCTACTTGTGAGGTAGGAATTATTACGATTCCCATTTCACAGATGAGGAAATTGAGGCCTGGAGAAGTGAAATGTCAGTACCAGGTTTGATTTGGAGTAAAGTGCACAGGGATCTGAAACCCCCGCCCCAACCCCTAAACTGAGTAGGCAGCTCTCCCTCCCAATGGGCCGGGCCTGACACCTTTAGAAGCTACGCCCTACACTGAGCCACTCCTCCAGACCAAAGTCGAGACCCCAAAATGAGAAGGCCCTCCTTCGGAAGCTCCTAGGCTACGAGACTATCTGCGAAGTCCCACGCAGCTGCGGGCCTAACTTAAACCCAAGCTATAGAATCCAGCGCCCCGCCGCCCATAGCTCTGCCCTAGCGTTCAAAGCCTCTCACGAGAAACCTGTGCGCAATCCGGTTTTCCTGTGCTCAACCCGGTTTTCCTGTGCTCCCACGTCCACGAGCTACGGTGTCTGCCCTAGACGGCAGCTCCGGAGCCGATCCGCCTCCGCAGGCGCCGGGGTCCCGCCCCCGCGGTAGACCACGCCCACCAGTGGCCCCGCCCAGCACCGCACCTCGCCGGCTCTCCTTATTTTGTGGCCCCGCCCCAGAGTCCCTGTGACACTCCCCTTAAGTGGTCCCACATAATATCCTCAGGCTCCTGGCTCCGCCCCAGCCTGCCGCGCCCAACT